GGCTATCTGTGTGAGGAAGAACAAGGAATGGAAACAAATCACTGTCTCCCCTACAGAGCCTATCAAAAATGAGCTAAATTAGGAAGGGGGAGAGAAAATGCAGTGTAAGTGACCAGGAAATCCCAGTCACGTGATGCTGCGGTGTAGTCATACTGGTGAATTAAAATAAGTTGTCAAGGTTATGGTTTAAACTCAGGCGGGATGGTTGACTTCCTATGAGTCACTGGAGAAGCGAGAATTGACATACGTTTTCATCCAAGGTCAACAGAAAGGGGTATTGGGGAAAAGAAAAAAGATAAAATAGCTACTTTCTGGTTATAGAATGTAATTCTGTGAGAGAAAGACAAGAAAGCTTGGTTGGATAATGACAAATCAGAAGATACCATAAACAAGAGTCACAATTAATCCCATTTCGTGCCCCTGAGATTCTAAGAGAAAAGAAAATTCACAAAGCATGTATGCAAACATCAATGTAGTAGTATGACCCACAGAGAAAAGAATTTTAAAAAACAAAACCTAACTGGAATTTTCTGGCATGGTGGCACTGGCCTATAATTCTGGCTGCTGGAGGTGGTGGCACGAGGATGGCGAGCACCAGGCTTTCCTAGACTGTATAACTTGACTCTATTCAAAGAAAGAAGCAAACAAAAGGAAAAACCCACAGTGGATGCTGAAATTTAAGATGATGTAATGTACAGACTATTAATGGTTGATATACCTCAGCATGGCAGTTGTTAAATAGATCCCTCCTCCTATCTGGTTTGTGTGTGTGTGTGTGTGTGTGTGTGTGTGTGTGTGTGTGTGTGTGTGCGCGCGCGCGCAGTGTTTGTGCGTGGTGTGGTGTGTGTGGTATATGTATGTGTGGTGTGTGTGGAGTATGTGTGTATATTATGTGTGTGTCCTATGTGTGTTAGTGGTACATATGTGTGTGATGTATGTGTGTGTGATGTATGTGTGTGGTGTGTATGTAGCAAGACAGAAGCTCTATGAAACACTGGCATTCTGTGTGCCACGGAAATGAAAGTTTCATGAAACGATGCTAAGATTTGGTCTGTATAATGGCCTCTGGTATATTTCATTTTGGCTTAGTCTTGTCTGCATCTTTAACAATGTGCAGGCAGGACGCACTTCACGCCTTCCAAACAGGTCGCCAGTCTTGAAATCAAGTAGCTTTGGTCATCCTGTCCTGCAGACTAATTGTGCTCGGGTCAAGTCTCTCCTCAGTGTGGAAGTTCTCCCTTCTCCACTGTCCTCGTTATACCCGGAGTGGTCAGATTTCAACCATGTGGATGCAGAGCCATACCTTATAGTAATAAATTTCCATTTCCATGGGATTTTCTTATCTTTGTAAATGGTGACTGAACCTCAGGCCTCGGGCATTGTTGGCAGACATGTGCATCCCCAGACCTTCATGCATGTTAAATAAGTCAGACTTGGAGATCCTGATAACAGTCCCTTCAGCTTTGCTTCCTGTTCTGTGAACTGCTCTTTCTATGTTCTGTCTGTTGTCTCAATGCGTTGTCTCTTTCTTATTGGTTTATTTGTTATTTATAAGATTTATTATTTTTGATACAGAACCTACATTTTTATTTATTTATTAAAGATTTCTGTCTCTTCCCCGCCACCGCCTCCTATTTCCCTCCCCCTCCCCCAATCAAGTCCCCCTCCCTCGTCAGCCCAAAGAGCAATCGGGGTTCCCTGCCCTGTGGGAAGTCCAAGGACCACCCACCGCTATCCAGGTCTACTAAGGTGAGCATCCAAACTGCCTAGGCTCCCACAAAGCCAGTACATGCAGTAGGATCAAAAACCCATTGCCATTGATCTTGAGTTCTCAGTAGTCCTCATTGTCCTCTATGTTCAGCGAGTCCGGTTTTATCCCAGGCTTTTTCAGACCCAGGCAGCTGGCCTTGGTGAGTTCCCAGTAGAACATCCTCATTGTCTCAGTGTGTGGGTGCACCCCTCACAGTCCTGAGTTCCTTGCTCGTGCTCTCTCTCCTTCTGCTCCTGATTTGGAGCTTGAGATTTCTGTTCGGTGCTCCAATGTGGGTCTCTGTCTCTTGTCTCCTTTCATCGCCTGATGAAGGTTAATATTCAGGAGGATGCCTATATGTTTTTCTTTGGGTTCTCCTTCTTATTTAGCTTCTCTAGGATCACTAATTATAGGCTCAATGTCCTTTATTTATGGCTAGAAACCAAATATGAGTGAGTACATACCATGTTCCTCTTTTTGGGTCTGGCTTACCTCACTCAGGATAGTGTTTTCTATTTCCATCCATTTGCATGCAAAATTTGCTAAGTCCTTGTTTTTTACTGCTGAGTAGTACTCTAATATGTATATATTCCATACTTTCTTCATCCATTCTTCAATTGAAGGACATCTAGGTTGTTTCCAGGTTCTGGCTATTACAAACAATGCTGCTATGAACATGGTTGAGCATATACTTTTGTTGTATGATAGGGCATATTTTGGGTATATTCCCAAGAGTGGTATTGCTGTGTCCAGGGCTAGGTTGATCCCGAATTTCCTGAGAAACTGCCACACTGCTTTCCAAAGTCGTTGTACAAGTTTGCATTCCCACCAGCAATGGGTGAGTGTACCCCTTTCTCCACAACCTCTCCAGCAAAGGCTATCATTGGTGTTAGATGTAAGATGGTATCTTAAGTTGTCTTGATTTGCATTTCCCTGATCGCTAAGAGAGTTGAACATGACCTTAAGTGTCTTTTGGCCATTTGAACTTCTTCTGTTGAGAGTTCTCTGTTCAGCTCAGTGCCTCATTTTATAATTGGGTTGATTAGCCTTTTACGGTCTAGTTTCTTGAGTTCTTTATATATTTTGGAGATCAGACCTTTGTCAGTTGCGGGGCTGGTGATGATCTTCTCCCAGTCAGTGGGTTGCCTTTTTTATCTTAGTGACAGTGTCCTTTGCTTTACTGAAGCTTCTCGGTCTCAGGAGGTCCCATTTATTCAATGAGGCCCTTAATGTTTGTGCTGCTGGGGTTATACGTAGGAAGTGGTCTCCTGTGCTCATGTGTTGTAGAGTACTTCCCACTTTCTCTTCTATCAAGAGCCTACATTTTTTATAGGTTAATTTTTTTCACATTTTGAAGTCATACAGATCATCTTTAGACAGGGGCTTTTTGTGAAGCATAGACTGTCTTAAATTTGTGACAATCCCCTTCCTTAGCCTCACAGGCACTAAGGTCACAGATGTGCGCTACCATGACCAGCTGAGGCTTTTACATCTCATCTGTCTTATGGAGAACAATAGTGAGAAGTGTAACAATTAATTTTTATGTATTTTACTGGTATGTGTGTCTGTGCATGTCTGGTGCCCAAAAAGAGCAGAAGAAGGTGTTGGATCCCGTGGCACTGGAGTTACAGAGGGTTGTGAGCTGCCATGTGTGTGCTGGGAACTAGAACCAGATCCTCTGTAAGACCAGTGAGTGTCCTTAACCACTGAGCCATCTCCGCAGTCTGAGAAATATGCCTGTTTTTCACATTAGGCTCTGTGTATTTTAAGAAAACCCTCCCTATCTCTGAGGTCATAAAAGTCTAAAAGCTTTAAATGTTTTATGTATCCAGTTCTTCATCCAGATTCAGCTTGTTTTAAATCCCACATCTAAGCATCACCATCCTCCTCCTCTTCCTTTCCAGTGGAGAATATTCTCTCTCTCTCTCTCTCCCTCTCCCTCTCCCTCTCCCTCTCCAAATAAAAGTTTCAAGCCCACAGTGTAAACGGGCTTCTGAAGGTTGTAGAATGCCAAGCTTGGCATCTCTAGGTACTAATGGCATCAGAAAAGATTACCTCAAGCTTTTTTGAAGTGTGTGTGAGAGAGAACACTGTGCCCACAGCGGGTATGTGTGAAGTGTGTGTGTGTGAGAGAGAACACTGTGCCCACAGCGGGTATGTGTGAAGTGTGTGTGAGAGAGAGAGAACACTGTGCCCACAGCGCGTATGTGTGAAGTGTGTGTGTGTGAGAGAGAACACTGTGCCCACAGCGGGTATGTGTGAAGTGTGTGTGTGAGAGAGAGAACACTGTGCCCACAGCGGGTATGTGTGAAGTGTGTGAGAGAGAGAACACTGTGCCCACAGCGGCTATATGTGAAGTGTGTGTGTGAGAGAGAACACTGTGCCCACAGCGGGTATGTGTGAAGTGTGTGTGTGTGAGAGAGAACACTGTGCCCACAGCAGGTATGTGTGAAGTGTGTGTGTGAGAGAGAACACTGTGCCCACAGCGGGTATTTGTGAAGTGTGTGTGTGAGAGAACACTGTGCCCACAGCGGGTATGTGTGAAGTGTGTGTGAGAGAGAACACTGTGCCCACAGCGGGTATGTGTGAAGTGTGTGTGAGAACACTGTGCCCACAGCGGGTATTTGTGAAGTGTGTGTGTGAGAGAACACTGTGCCCACAGCGGGTATGTGTGAAGTGTGTGTGAGAGAGAACACTGTGCCCACAGCGGGTATGTGTGAAGTGTGTGTGAGAGAGAACACTGTGCCCACAGCGGGTATGTGTGAAGTGTGTGTGTGTGTGTGAGAGAGAGAGAACACTGTGCCCACAGCGGGTTTGTTTGAAGTGTGTGTGTGTGAGAGAGAGAGAGAGAACACTGTGCCCACAGCGGGTATGTGTGAAGTGTGTGAGAGAGAGAGAGAACACTGTGCCCACAGCAGGTATGTGTAAAGTGTGTATGAGAGAGAGAACACTGTGCCCACAGCGGGTTTGTTTGAAGTGTGTGTGAGAGAGAGAGAGAACACTGTGCCCACAGCGGGTATGTGTGAAGTGTGTGTGTGTGAGAGAGAGAGAACACTGTGCCCACAGCGGGTTTGTTTGAAGTGTGTGTGTGTGAGAGAGAGAACACTGTGCCCACAGCGGGTTTGTTTGAAGTGTGTGTGTGAGAGAGAGAACACTGTGCCCATAGCGGGTTTGTTTGAAGTGTGTCTGAGAGAGTGAGAAGCATGTGCCCACAGTGGGTATGTAATTCACCAACCTCATTTATTAACAGACCACAAATGCTGTCTTGGCAGCACGTGAGATCACTGTCCATACAGTTGACAGGCAAAAGGGCTAGGCAGGGCTAGAGGGAGCACTCTGTCCGACCTGGGCACACCAAAGTTGTATCCATATCTCAGAGAGTCAGGGGGCCCTGGGCACAGCATCTAAACTGCTGGAAGACCGGCTTTGAGTTGGCATGTCAGCTCAACCCCAGTGAGGCTCTCACGGAAGTTCCCACTGGGTTTCCACACACCTGTCTTCTGCTGTCTGTGGGGCAGGGACTGGCTTGATGTGCATCAGCAGAGACTAAAAACATATAACATGGCCACTTCAGAAGCCTTATGCCAGTTCTTTCTGTCCAGTGCTTTGGCCACCTGCTGGGAGGACAGTGGGCTTTGGTGCCTCAGGATTGTTAGGGACAGTGGAGTCACCTCGAAGGCTGAAACTGGAGAAAATTTTAGTGTCACTTCTTGTCAACAGGTTTAGGGGTTGAAGGAGGATGTCATCTGTGGGGTTCTTTCTTGGGAGTGGAACCTGGCCACCTTTGTCCTGGCCTCTGACTGTGAGTCTTCTTAGCGCGTATGCAGGCAGCTGGCTGACCTTGTTGGATCCCATTTCTGTCCTTTTGGAGGATGAAGGCTTTTTAAAGACTTCACAGACGACCTGGTTGTCCTGGTTCCACCAGTGCTGCAGCGGATACACAGGGATGGGCAGCAGAGCCAGGACGCTGAGGAAGGTGATCCAGCCCAGGACTATCTTCTGGTAAGGCTGCTTCACTTCCTGGCTCTGGAGACAGGGACAGTGGACCACAGGGGGAAGCGCTCAGTCTGGGTGCAGTGTCCCCAGGTCCCCAGGGCAGGAGATACAGGTGAGGACTCAGTCTGAATACTCTGGGCGCAGGGTTCCCCAAGTCCTGGGGGTAGGAGATGCAGGAGGGGGGCTGAATCTATGTGCTTGGGGTTTGGGGTCTCCAGGTCCCTAAGTGTAAGAGCCACAGGGCGGGGTGCCAGGTCCCCAGGGCGTACCATACTGTCATTCCAGGAAATGTAGTAGAGGGATTTCCTGTGGTAGAGATTCAGGAAGTAGATGGCGAGCAGCACCAGCAGAGCGGGCAGGGTCACGTAAGTCCACAAGAAGGTGAAGGGTGCCCACACCAGGCGGCCCAGCTGGTAGAACATCTCAGCCCTGAACCTGGATGAAGGAGGCAGCCATCGGGACGTAAGGCCTGGGCATACCTGGGCATAGGTAGACCTTCTATCTCCAACTCTTGGAAACTCCTGATGCTTAGTGTGGGGGACCAGGCCTCCCTGGCTCTGGATCATGTTTTGTTACCCATGAGAATCGTTCAGTCCACAGATGGTACCACCACGGCCCTTGGCCTGCAGTGCACTTAGGAATGCATCTTCCTGGAGGATCTGCCCACTCTCTGAGAACTTTGACTCCTGTGCAGTGTCTCTGCCCCCTGAAGGCCTAGGGTAGACTGGATAGCCAAGCCACCCCCACCCAGGGATTGGAAATTACCTCCTGATTCCATAGACAAAAGCCAGAGAAAGGTTCTGGAGCACCACAATAACGACGAGGACCATAGGGACCAGGTGGTCATCAAACAGGAACACCACGTAGCTGCCGGAACGACTGGAGAGGACAAGGCTGCCCAGAAGTCCTCCCAAGCAGACAGTCACTAAGGGTGGAAGTGGATGGGGTACAATGGGGGTTGTGAGCTGGGGGTCCATGTGACTCCGGGATGCTTCAAGTGAGGTAAGTGAGAGGAAGATTACAAGGTAGGGGCTTTTGTACCTGGTATCAGCTTGGGATACTTCTCGAAGGTTGGGATGTTTCTCTGCAGAGGAAGCACAATACTCTCCAGGAGCGTTGTCAGTGTGGCCAGACCCATGATGACAAGGGCAATGAAAAAGATGATGGCCCAGAAAGAGGAGCCAGGAAACAGCGAGATGACTTGAGAGAAGGCCACGTATGCCAGGCCAGGGCCCTCCATGAACTGTGGGGAGAAGAGCTCTAAGGCAGGGCAGGGTCTGGATGGATGGGGTTGGGAGAGTACTTCATTAGTCATGTCTGCCACTCAGCGTGGAAATCGAGGAGGTTAAAGTGTTCAAAGTTGTCCCTCCTTGGCTATGCGACCTGAGTGACATTCATTTTCTGGATCCCTTGAAGTGAGCTACAATGTAGCTGTGGCACACAGATGTGGAGGGGAGCCAAGATCAGAACTTTTGGCTGCAGGGAGGTAGCCAGACCAGCCTCCTTGACAAACATACCTTTTCCTTCTGTACCAGGATGCTGCAGGGTGGGGAGAAACGGACCACATCTGCCTGGAGCTGACTGGGGAGCTGACTGATCCAGTCCATGTATTCTACTGGAGGTTTATGAATGATGCCTTGGGGAGGCCAGGCAGCCTGGGACAGCACACCTTTGATTATCAGATCGACCAGCTTGTTGACACTCCTGCTAGCATAGGAAGAGAAAAGAAGACGATAGAGAATGGTCTGGCTCTCCAAGCATCACCAACCAAGGAGGAGGAGAATCGCATACAGATATACACTATCATGGCTCTGGAAGTCCATGGTTGGGGGCTCTGTGTGAGTGTGTGTGTGATATATGTGATGTGTGTGGTATGTGATGTGTTTGGTGTGTTTGTGTGTCTGTGTGTGATGTGTGTGGGGTGGTGTGTGTGGTTGTATGTGATATGTGTGTAAGTTAATTAAATGGCCACCCCAATTAAATGTTTTCTTTACAAGAGTTGCTGTAGTCATGGTGTCTATTCATAGGAATAGTAACTGGAGCTAAGACAGCATCTAAGACATGAAGGCCCCGAAACACAGTGTTAGTCAAGTCCTTTTCATTTGTGCCTGGTATTCCATTAGTTGGATGGTTATGCTAACTTTTTTATGAAATCTTATTGCTAGGGTCTCAGATTGCACTTCCATGTTTACCTACAGGTAAATCAATGGTCAGTCATCATTTGGGTCACTGAACAAAGTCGTGACTCAGATGTCTGTGAGTGGGTGAGCAGCGGCCATGGAATCCCCGTGCAAGTGATTTGATTGTGAGAAGTACTTGTCCTCAAAGGCAGTGGCATGAATTTACATACCCACCAACAAAGCACAAGGCTTCCTCTAGCTTCCCTGCACACTGGTTCTCACAGTTTCTGCCTGAACCTCTGAGTCTGTAGCTGACAGTCATCGCAGCGCGTGGGCAGTGTGGTCTCGCTGCAGCCTTACCTTCAGCTTCTCAGGTGCAAGCTGGGTGTGGTGGCACAATCCTGTCACCACAGCATTCAAGAGGACAAGGGGGGGTCAGAAGTTCAAGGTCATCCTTAGCTACATAGACAGATCAAAGCCAGCTTTGGCAACATGACACCCTGCCTTTAAAAAAAAAACAGGTGGTGGTAATGCACGCCTTTAATCCCAGCACTCAGAAAGCAGAGGCAGGTGGATCTTTGAGTTCGAGGCCAACCTGGTCTACAGAGTGAGTTGCAGTACAGCCAGGGCTACAGAGAGAAACCCTGTCTCAGAAAAACAAAACAAAACAACTCAAAAGAGTTAGGCCATGAGATAGTTCAGTGGACAGATCACTTGCCATTCAAACTTGGAGTTTGATCTCTGAACCACACAAGAGAGAAGCAGACTCCACAGAACTGTGTTCTGACCTCCACACGCATACCCAGACGTGCACGTGCAGGTGCACACATGCACCAAGCAGACAGACAGACAGACATTGCTGCTAACCCTTGACATCCTAACTGGAAGGAAAACTCTTAAGCCTCTGAAAGCTACAGCAATGAAACAAAAGAGCAAGGAGAGGCTTGTGGGAGGACCCAGAAGGAAGGGAGGAGGAATTACATGACAATATCTCAAAAGATAAAAGAAATAATTCAAAGTGTATAAGAAAATTGGTGTATGCAAAACAAATTCCAGTTCTGTGCCCATTGTGATGGCACATACCTTTATTATCTTGTGTGTATGGTTGTTTTGTCTTCATGTATGTGTGTGTTTGTCTACCTTGTGTGGGCAATGTCCTCAGAGGCCAGAAGAGGGTGTTGGGTCCCTGGGCTGGACCTATATAGATGGTTGGAAGTCAACATGTGGGTGCTGAGTACTGAACCCTGGGTCCTATGGAAGAGCAGCAAGTTTGCTTGCTTGTTTTGGTTTCTTGAGACAGGATTTCTCTCTGTAGGCCTGGCTGTCCTAGAACTCGCTCTGTAGATCAGGCTGGCCTCGAACTCAGAGAACCAACTGCCAGGGCCTCCAGAGTGTGCCACCACTGCCTGGCTGCTGTCAGTGTTCTTAACCACTGAGCAATCTCGCTAGTCCTGGCACACACCTTTAATCCCAGCACTGGGAGGCAGAGACGGGCAAATCTCTACGAATGTGAAGCCAGCCTGGTCTACAGAGTGAAGTACAGGCCAGCCATGAATAGACAGTGAGACCTTGTCTCAAACAACAAAAACAAAACAAAGCAAAAAAAGAAACAAACACACCCCAGTATCTGGCTACAGCTAGAAAAAAAAAAGCAGAGCAACTGGGCAAAGCGCAAACACCTGGTGCTTCCCAACTCAAACACAGCCCGTGCCAACAGCTGCCGCCTGCATCGTGGCAGCTGTGACATCATGGCAAGCTGTGACAGCAGCTTTGCGGGTTAAAGAAGCAACTTGAAAATGATCCTTAGCTTCATCTGCAATTTCTAGAACTGTCCTCTTCCGTTAGGCAGTGGTTGTTTACTCTGAGGATGAGGTGAAGTGGGGTTCAACGGAAGGGTCTGACCGACAGGACTGTGGTGCTGAAGGGGAGCTGAGGAGGGAAAGCTTCTGCTAACATTGCCAGGATGTGCCACTCACTTCTCAACACAGCTGGGCCCGCTGGTTGTGGTCCAGAAGCCCAGCACCAGAAAGATGATGGCTGTGCTCAGCAACGACATCACCAGGTTGGCCATGGCCACAAAGAAGGCCAACTTGATGTAGTTGTCACCTCTAGTCTGGTAGGAAGAGAAAGTGATGATGGTGCCCATGCCAAGGCCGAGGGAGTAGAGCACATGGCCTCCAGCCTGACGCCACGTGTCCAGCGATGACAAGACAGAGAGCTGTGGAGGAGAGGGTTCCCAGGTGAGGTGAGGCCGACAGAGCAACGAACCTGGGAGGCCTGGGGAGTGAGGTAGAGAGGGACTCACCTCTATGGTCACCAGGCGCCTGAGGCTAGCCATCGCTCCTCGCAGGAAGAGACTGCGGATGAGGAAGCAGCAGAGGAGGACGTAGGGGAAGAATATGGAGAAAATCAGCATCTGGGCAGGTAGGTCACAAGAAGCAGGAGAAGGAAGATAGAGAGAACATTAGTAAAGTTGAAGGTGGGCAAGACGCTGTGAGGAGGGAGGTGCTGGGGGAGGGAGCTGGAGAGTGAACCGGTCAGTGGGAGGTGAAAAAGGAGGGCAGTGCCTAAGGAAAGACACCAAAGGTTTACCTCTGGCCTCCACAGGCTTGTGCAGACCCCGCTGCACACACAAAATGTTACATATGACAGGAACGTCCCAGCACCCACCCCAATGTCACCCACACTCCCAAACTGCCCAGAATCACGTTCCTGGATCCAGTCTCTTATGTTTCTCTTCTGTCCTTTTACCTGTGCGTCCTAACACGCAGTCTGGGCCCTGCTAATTCCACTCCTTCTCGCTGTCCACCTTGTTCCTGAGACAGGTCTCATTGCCCTGGAGCACACTGATTAGACTAGGACCCTGGATCCTCCTGTCCCCACCACCCCAGTTCTGGGTTCCAAGGATCCCTTTCTGTCTGGTCTTACACATGGGTGCTGGAGACCAAACTCGGGCCCTCGAGCTGCTGTCCTGGAACTCACTCTGTAGACCAGGCTGGCCTCGAACTCAGAGAGTCCCCTGCCTCTGCCTCCCAAACTCTGGGATTAAAGGCGTGCACCATCACTGTCTGCCCATGCTTCTTTCTCCCCAGCCTGTGAAGACCAATCTTCATTGTCTACCTGATTGTACTTAGAAGAATCCAGGAGGTTGAGGCATGCCCCTGGGTGTGTCTGTGGGGCTGCTAGAGGATTAACTGAAAGCGAAAGACCTACCTTGATGTCTGTGTCAACATCCCTGAGGCTCAGATGGAATAAAAGAGGGATGAGAACACCATAAGAGAACCACAGCTCCTCTGCCTCCTGTTCTGTGGGGACCCGAGGATGCGCACAGTCCCAGCCATGTGTTCCTCACCACACTGTATACCCTCAAACCGTGACCGAAATAAATCCTTCATGTCAGGTCACAGTGAGAAGACTAATGGGAAAAGGCCCCTTCACACCGAACCCCTAGTCCTAGCAGAGTCTCTGTTTGTAGGAACGGTGCCAAGAACTGGTATGAGGAATCCAGATGCTCAAAGGGACACAGACGGAGCACAAGGAAGGAAACCATTTCTGCAGGGTCACCGTGCACACCAGAAAGCCCAGGGAGGTAGAGGTGATAGCAGAGCTAGGACAAGTCTCTGCACAGTGAGGTGGGTGTCAGGGATGGTGACCAGAGAGTCCCGTCAAGAGCTTGCTTGAGGTAGCTATGGCCTCTTCCGTGGGACACTTACTGGGGACACTGGTGGGTGTACATGAACCTGTCCTCTGGATAGGTCCTGAGGCTCAGCAGGAAGGAGGCCATGGGGACACTTACAAGCACTGAGATCCTCATCCTAATAATCAGGATGATATAGAGGAAGACCCAGGTGGCAAAGAGGCACAGGGTGATGTTCAGGACCAACATCTCAATCCCTTCTTCCACCTGGCTGGAGGCATTAAGGGTTGTGTGATACCAGAAATACTGGTAGGGCACTGTCCGAAGGCACTGGATCTCTGCGGGGAGGAAGGGGCAGAGATTCAGATACTTACAGGTCACCTCACATGCTGCCTCCAATAGCTCTTGCAACTAACCCATCTCCCTGTCCCTCTCCTTACTAGTCATACTGATGTTCCCATGGTCACGGGAATGCATCTTGCATTGTTCCCAGGGTGGAGGGTAACCAAAGGACTGGCCCAGGTACATGACGTTCCAGGAGATCAGAGCGCTGTTATACAGGCTCACCAGCACACAAGCCTGAGGAGAACAAGGTGGGCCCGAGGGGCGACATGGAGGAGACAGGGCACCAGAAACTTGTGGGTCTGCCAGCCCCAACCTACCAGTGTGCTGGAGTAGCCCAAACCGCCTAGCCAGGGGGCCAGCTGCTTCCAGGCCTGGATGTTGTCCTTCCGAAGCCACTGTCCAATGATCATCTCCATGTACAACAGGGGGATCCCCATCAGCAGCAGCAGGATGAGGTACATCAGCAGAAAGCTGCCTGTGGAGGGGTGGGATCTTGCTCAGGCAGCTGGGAGCCCCTCAGCCCTCACACTCCTCCCTGGGGGGTCTCAACACCCCTTCCTTAACCTCACAGCATAGGCTCTGGCTTCACCTCCTCCATTCTGGTGGCACAGGTATGGGAAACGCCACACGCTTCCAAGTCCAATGGAGAAGGCCACCAAGATCAGGATATTCTCTGTCTTCTTCGCCTGGAAGTGGTTTGGGATCTTGGTAATTCGGACCTCTCTGGTCCTGACGCCCCGGGACACAGATGTGGGGTTCATGCCCCTCTCCCTATACATGGGTTCTTTCTCCACAGGCTCTTTCTCCTTCTTATCCTTGGGAAGTGCTTTAGGAGATTGGTCCATGGAATCTCTTCACTGGTTCCACACCTAAAGGGGTCTTGAGGTCACCAAAAACAGCAGACTTTAAGATAGAACCAGTGTCCAGAGAGGCACAGGGAAGTGGGAGGTGTGGGGAGGGGGACAGAAAGTGTTCCTTTCAGGATTGGATTAGGATGTGGGGGTGTTTGAATTACTTATTTTATTTTAGTGTGTGTATGTGTGTGTACGTGTGTGTGTGTGTGTGTGTGTGTGTGTGTGTGTGTGTAAATGTGTGTGCGCATGTGACTTTTTAAGACAGGGTCTCTCGGTGTAGTTCTGGCTGTCCTGGAACTCACTCTGTGAACCAGACTGGCCTCAAACTCACAGCAATCCGCCTGCCTCTGCCAGCCGAGTGCTGGGATTAAAGGCATGCGCCACCACTGCCTGGCCTTTTGGGGGGATGCTTGATTTAGAGTAGATTGCTGAGGCACAGGAAATAGGTACCAAGCCTGATGACCTGAGTTCACTCCCGGGACCCACATGGTGGAAGGAGAGGAGTTATGCTGCAGGCTGTCCTCTGACCTGCACATGTGACCGTGGCATGCACACACATACAACACAATAAATTAAATAGGACATACTTTTAAAAAACATATGGCATTGAATGTTTGGTTTTATCCAGCTTTGGATTGCATGACATATTAGTTCTGAGGGAGGATCTCATTAGCTCAGGCTGGTTTTAAGCATCTGATGTAGCTGAGGATGGCTTTAAATTCCTCACCCTGCTGCCTCCTGCTCCTGAGTCCTGGGCTACAGATGTGAGCCTCCATTCCTGCCTTCAAACTATCTTTACAATAAGGAGGCAGTTACTTAAACACGCTGCTCAGGCAAAGGCCAAACACACATCATTTATGCCTCGAAAAATGCATAAAGTATGTATTTCTCAGTTTCATACATGAACTGAGCCTTTACAAATGCAGAGTGCTCCTGCAGAGGACCCAAGTGCAGTTCCTAGACTTAGCTGGGGTGGCTCAAAACCACCTGTAACTCCAGAGACTCTGACACTCTCTTTCTGTCCTTTGCAGGAGCCTGCATTCATGTGCACACGACTATACCTAGACACATACACGCCCATACATAGATACACACATGTGCACCCGACTATACCTAGACACATACGCCCATACATAGACACACACATGTGCATATGACTATACCTAGACACACACACGCCCATACATAGACACACACATGTGCACACGACTATACCTAGACACACACGCCCATACATAGACATACACATGTGCACATGACTATACCTAGACACATACACGCCCATACATAGACACACACATGTGCACATGACTATACCTAGACACACACACGCCCATACATAGACACACACATGTGCACACGACTATACCTAGGCACACACACGCCCATACATAGACACACACATGTGCACATGACTATACCTAGACACATACACACATGCCCATACATAGACACACACATGTGCACATGACTATACCTAGACACACACACACACGCCCATACACAGGCACACACATGTGCACATGACTATACCTAGGCACACACACGCCCATACATAGACACACACATGTGCACATGACTATACCTAGGCACACACACGCCCATACACAGACACACACACACCACAAACATTTAAAATAAAAGTACATTTTGGGATTTTGTTTGGTTAGCTTTTTGAGACAGGTTTTCCTTTTGCGGCCTTGACTGTCCTGGAGCTCACTCTGTAGACCAGGCTGGACCCAAACTCAGAGATCACCTGCCTCTGCCTCCCAATTGCTGGGATTAAAGGCGCGTGCCACCACCAACCAGCATAAAAGTAAATCTTAAGTTCTCAGTAGTCCTCATTGTCTGCTATGTTCAGCGAGTCCGGTTTTATCCCAGGCTTTTTCAGACCCAGGCCAGCTGGCCTTAGTGAGTTCCCAAAAGAACATCCCCATTGTCTCAGTGTGTGGGTGCACCCCTCGCGGTCCTAAATTCCTTGCTCATGCTCTCTTTCCTTCTGCTCCTGATTTGGAGCTTGAGATTTCTGTCCGGTGCTCCAATGTGGGTCTCTGACTCTGTCTCCTTTCATTGCCTAATGAAGGTTAATATTCAGGAGGATGCCTATATGTTTTTCTTTGGGTTCTCCTTCTTATTTAGCTTCTCTAGGATCACTAATTATAGGCTCAATGTCCTTTATTTATGGCTATGGCTATGGGTTTGTGATCCCACTGCACATACTGGCTTTGTGGGAGCCTAGACAGTTTGGATGCTCACCTTACTAGACCTGGATGGAGGTGGGTGGTCCTTGGACTTCCCACAGGGCAGGGAACCCTGATTGCTCTTTGGGCTGACGAGGGAGGGGGGACTTGATTGGGGGAGGGGGAGGGAAATGGGAGGCGGTGGCGGGGAAGAGACAGAAATCTTTAATAAATAAATAAATTTTAAAAATGTAAATCTTAGCCGGGCAGTGGTGGCGCACGCCTTTAATCCCAGCACTCGGGAGGCAGAGGCTGGCGGATCTTTGTGAGTTCGAGGCCAGCCCAGTCTACAAGAGCTAGTTCCAGTAGGCTCCGTAGCTACAGAGAAACCCTGTCTCGAAAAACCAAAAAAAAAAAAAAGTAAATCTTAAGTAATGAAAACAATTGTATTTTTCTCTCTTGTGAGTTTATACTCATTTGTGTGTGTGTGTGTGTGTTGTGTGTGTGTGTTCTCAATTAGCCCCAGAGAAAGGAATTCCTTCTCACCAAGGCCTTGGATCTAGTGCTGAGTGGTTTCCATTTAGCAAAAATGCTAATGGGGATGAGGTGCCACCTGGTTTCCTCCTGTATGCTGGTTGCCATGGTTTCCACAATGCTGTGTTCCCAGTCACAGCAGAAGGAAGCAGAAGAAAATGCACAGCAACGCTGAACTTTCTTCCCTTTTCTCCACATTTGTTCACCCCAAACATCCAGCTTATGAAATGTCCTTAGCGCATGGAACACCCTCTGATAATCCTCCCAGTGTCTGCCTGGGAGCCTACAGCCACGCCCCCTCTGAGACAACAGGCAAGGACTTGTCAGACTTTTCTGTCTTCAAGGCCCTGTCAAACATGTGCCTTGCTATTGCCAGAGAATTGCTAATTGTGTCTGGAAGGCCTGTGGGAACGGGAAACCTTGAATAAGGACACAGAGAAGACATGGCAGATCCCTTTAGCCAGCTCCTGCTGCTGTAAGCGTCCTGTCTGAACCCCAGGAGGCAGCACTGAGACTGGCACTCAGAGGGGTGCCCTCCCCAGTGAGGGTTTTAACAGCACTTTACACACTAACAACTTCCCAGAGCCAGTGACAACAGCACTGCACACCCAGCTGTAAATGGCTGTGCCTTGCTCTGGTTCCAGGATCACAGATCCCAGGCTTTCTCTGGCTAGGAAGTACCTCTGGGCCTCTTCTGTAGGCTGAGTGCAGCCAGCATCCTCTTTGGGGACAGAGCAGGAGCCAGCCAGCCAGTTTTGAGAAGAGAGAATGCTACTTGCTGGTGAGGTACCTCCTGGCCGATTTTTTTTTTAATTGTGTGTGTGGAGGGGTGCACATGAGTATAGGTACCTGTGGAGGTCAGATCTCCTGGAATTGAAGCTACAGTCTGCTGCGAGTGTCTGTGCCTGCTGTAGATACTGTGAACTTTCAAGAGATACCACAAGTTTTTTAGCATGATTTTATGCCCAGCACACCAGAACTCCTGAGGCTGACAGAAGGTTCAAGAGTTTAAGGCCAACTTGGGCTACTCAGTGAGACTTAGTCTCAAGAGTACAAAACAAAACAAAAAGACCCCACTGCCAAATCCTTCATGTTAAATGTTTGCTCCTTTTAGGTTTCAGAAGGGGAGGCAGCTAAACTTAGAAACTTATATCACATAGCTTTTTTTATTCTATAACACTGAGAACAGGGAATCTTTTGTTATAGTATATTATAGGTGATTATTATCATACACAAAACTATGTATTAACATCTCATATGTACTATATGAGTTTCTCATCAATTCTACATATTTTCTTTTATTATCACGTGTAATTTCCTATGACGTATTTATTTATTATTTTGAGACAGGGTCTCTCTATGTACCTCTGACTGTCCCAGAACTTGGCTATATAGAGTGGGCTGGCCTCGAACTCCCAGCAATCTGCCTGCCTCTGCCTCCCGAATGCTGGGATTAAAAGAGTGAGTCTAATTATTTTGAGATAGGGTCTCACTGTGTAGCTTTAGCTATCCCAGAGCTCCCTATGTAGATCAAGCTGACCTCGAACTCAGAAATCCTCCTGCCTCCGCAACTGCAGTATTGGGATTAAAGGAGTGTGCTGTCCGGCCCAAGCTAAAAATGTGTTTTGTAAGGGTTACTCACAATCTAGGGTCCGTTTGGGGGTCTTCGGAGACAGCCCCGCCGACAGCTTCCCTTTAGTGGTCCCGTCCCCTTGGCGGACAGGAAGAACGCCTCGAGGGCTGCGGCCCGGCTCCCAAGGGGAAGGCTGGCGTCTGAGCAGGGCGTAACGGTCCCTACCCGCCTGGGCACGCGACCCGTGGACGTCAGCGGAGGTGGCCGAGAGACCCAGGGCGCCACAGCCCGGTGACCTGCAGCTCGCGCAGGGAGCTCTTACTTTTCTCTGGCCCGCGCTGGCCTGAGAAGACCCCGGGTGCCAGGGAATTCGGGCTCGGTGTGGGCGGAGCTAAGTCACTGGTTGCCTGATTTCATGGTGTTGGCTCACGGTGCCACTTGCCAGGAGGATGAGATCGTGGGCTGTGTGACGTCACAAGTTGCCAGGTAGATTTCACACAAGCACATGAAGGAGGGAAAAAGATGCCAGGAAAACTGCCAAGGGTGGAGGGTCACGTACTTATTAACCCAGCGCTTTAGTGGTAAAGGTCTGGGAGTTCCAGGCTAGGAAGGAAAGAAGGAAGGAGGGAAGGAAGGAGGCAGATGAGAGAGAGAGGGGGGGGGAGGTGAGGGAGAAGATAGAATAAAGATTTATGATGTTAGTGAGCTAGAAAATGTAGGTCCAAATCCTATTTTTGAACTTACTTGAGAAAATGTGAGATTTTTTTGTCTTTTTTTTTATTGAAAAAAAAATTTCTGCCTCCTCCCAGCCTCCCATTTCCCTCCCCCTCCTCCCACTCCTCTCCCCCTCCCCCACTCCTGTCCCCCTCCCTCTCCAGTCTGAAGAGTAGTCAGGGTTCCCTGCCCTGTGGAAAGTCCAAAGTCCTCCCCCCTCCATCCTGGTCTAGGAAGGTGAACATCCAAACTGGCTAGGCTCCCACAAAGCCAGAGCATGAAGTAGGATCAAAACCCAGTGTCATTGACCTTGGCTTCTCAGCAGCCCTCATTGTCCGAGATATTCAGAGAGTCTGGTTTTATCCCATGCTTTTTCAGTCACAGTCCAGCTGGACTTGGTGAGCTCCCAATAGATCAGCCCCACTGTCAGCGTGGATGGGTGCACCCCTTGTGGTCCTGACTTCTTTGCTCATGTTCTCCCTCCTTCTGCTCCTCATTGGGACATTGGGAGCTCAGTCCGATGCTCCAGTGTGGGTCTCTGTCTCTATCTCCATCCATCGCCAGATGAAGGTTCTATGGTGATATGCAAGATATTCATCAGTATGGCTATAGGACAGGGTCATTTCAGGTTCCCTATCCTCAGCTGCCCCAGGAACTAACTGGGGATATCGCCCTGGGCACCTGGGAGCCCCTCTAGGTTCAAGTCTCTTGCCAACCCTAAGATGGCTCCCTTAATTAAGATATGTGCTTCCCTGCTCCCCTATCCAACCTTCCTTTATCCCAATCATCCTGTTTCCCCAAGTTGCCCCCATCCTCCCCTTCTCACTTTTCTCTCCCCATCTCCCCTTACCCCCCTCCCACCCTACCCCCAAGATCCCAATTTTTTGCCCGGCAATCTTGTCTACTTCCCTTAACCAGGAGGATAGCTTTATGTTTTTCTTTGGGTTCACCTTCTCATTTAGCTTCTTTAGGATATCAAATTATAGACTCACTGACCTTTATTTATAGCTAGAAACCAATTATGAGTGAGTACAGCCCATGTTCATCTTTTTGGGTCTGGGTTACCTCACTCAGGATAGTGTTTTCTATTTCCATCCATTTGCATGCAAAATTTGAGAAGTCATTGTTTTTTACCGCAGCGTAGTACTCTAATGTGTATATATTCCACACTTTCTTCATCCATTCTTCCATTGAAGGGCATCTAGGTTGTTTCCAGGTTCTGGCTATTACAAATAATGCTGCTATGAACATAGTTGAACAAATGCCCTTGTCATATGATCGGGCAACTCTTGGGTATATTCCCAAGAGTGGCATTGCTGGGTCGAGAAGTAGGTTGATCCCGAATTTCCTGAGAAACCGCCACACTGCTTTCCAAAGTGGTTGCACAAGTTTGCATTCCCACCAGCAATAGATGAGGGTGCCCCTTCCTCCACAACCTCTCCAGGAAAGGCTATCATTGGTGTTTTGATTTTAGCCATTCTGACAGGTGTAAGATAATATCTCAAAGTTATTTTGATTTGCATTTCCCTGATTGCTAAGGAGGTTGAGCATGACCTTAAGTGTCTTTTGGCCATTTGAACTTCTTCTGTTGAGAATTCTCTGTTCAGATCAGTGCCCCATTTTTTAATTGGGTTAATTAGCATTTTAAAGTCTAGTTTCTTGAGTTCTTTATATATTTTGGAGATCAGACCTTTGTCTGTTGCGGGGTTGGTGAAGATCTTCTCCCAGTCAGTGGGTTGCCTTTGTGTCTTAGTGACAGTGTCCTTTGCTTTACAGAAGCTTCTCAGCTTCAGTAGGTCCCATTTATTCAATGTTGCCCTTAATGTGTGTGCTGCTGGGGTTATACCTAGGAAGCGATCACCTGTGCCCATCAAACTAAACGGAGAGAAACTCAAAGCCATTCCACTAAAATCAGGAACTCGACAAGGCTGTCCACTCTCTCCATGCCTCTTCAATATAGTGCTTGAAGTTTTAGCAATAGCAATAAGACAACATAAGGGGATTCGAATTGGAAAGGAAGAGGTTAAACTTTCATTATTTGCAGATGATATAATAGTGTACATAAGTGACCCCAAAACCTCCACCAAAGAACTCCTATAGCTGATAAACACCTTTAGTAATGTGGCAGGATACAAGATCAATTCCAAAAAATCAGTCGCCCTCCTATACACAAAGGATATGGAAGCAGAGAGGGAAATCAGAGAAGCATCACCTTTCACGATAGCCACAAACAGCATAAAATATCCTTGGGGTAACTCTAACCAAGGAAGTGAAAAATCTATTTGACAAGAACTTTAAGGCATTGAAGAAAGAAATTGAAGAGGATACCAGAAAATGGAAGGATCTCCCTTGCTCTTGGATTGGGAGGATCGACATAGTAAAAATGGCAATTCTACCCAAGGCAATTTATAGATTCAATGCAATCCCCATCAAGGTCCCATCAAAATTCTTCACAGATCTGGAGAGGACAATAATCAACTTTATATGGAAAAACAAAAAACCCAGGATAGCTAAAACAATCTTATACAATAAAGGAACTTCTGGAGGCATTACCATCCCTGACTTCAAACTTTATTACAGAGCTACAGTGATGAAAACAGTGTGGTATTGGCATAAAAACAGAGAAGACGACCAATGGAATCATATAGAAGACCCGGATTTTAACCCACAAACCTATGAACACCTGATTTTCGATAAAGGAGCTAAAAGTATACAATGGAAGAAAGAAAGCATCTTCAACAAATGGTGCTGGCACAACTGTATGTCAACCTGTAGAAGAACGATAATAGACCCATATCTATCACCATGCACAAAACTCAAGTCCAAATGGATCAAAGACCTCAATATCAATCTGAACACACTGAACCTAATAGAAGAGAAAGTGGGAAATGTGAGATTTTTTAAAAAATAAAAACAAAAACAGGGTCTCCAAATTTAGAATTGTAAGGACATCTCATGAAATTCAAGATGAACAATTCCTAACCCCTTCTCCCGCCCCCCCAAAAACATAGTAGTGCTGGCAAATGCACTGTTAAAGGGGAGTCAAGAATCTGGGGGTCAGGGTTCAGAGGATGAATAGACCTGAGAGGAGCAGGGGCCACGGGGGCTGAGAGACGGGCTCTACTCAGGCTTCTGATAACAGCTACTCCACGCTGCTCCAAGTGAGGTCCCCCAAACTTCAGCATCACCTGCTAAGGGAGACTGGGAGGTCTAAATTTCCCCAGTAGTGCACGCTTTAATCCCAGCACTCGGGAGGCATAGGCAGGCAGATCTCTGTGAGTTTGAGGCCAGCCTGGTCTACAAAGTGAGTTCCAGGACAGCTACAGCTTCAAGGAACCCTGTCTCGAAACAGAAACAAAGCCAAACAAAACAAAACTGTGTGTGTGCGTGCATGCGTGTGTGTGTGTGTGTGTGTGTGTGTGTGTGTGTGTGTGTATTTATTCCCACACTAGGATCCCGTCACAGCAAGAAATACGGAGGTCAGAGGACAACTTGCTGGGTCAGAGCTCTTAGCTTCCACATCTTGTTCCCTGGAAACTCAGGTTGGCAGGTTTGTGGCACGTGTCTCTGCCTGCTCAGCCATCTCACCTGCCTCTTAATTCATCTTCTTTGCTGTGTCTGGCCTCTCAAAAGCTGCAGAGGGGGCATCTGTGAGTTCATCACTGGGGGACGGTGTGCATGAAGTAGGCAGGGACAAAAGAGCAGTAACGAGGGGCAGGAGCCATGTATTTGCATAGTGGATAAGTTAGAAAATCTCATTTGACTATGGGGAGAGGGAAGAATGGGTTACCTTGGCATGCTCTGCTTTCTGAACTCACAGCCTCTGCACTGCAATTGCCTGCGGTGCACCTGAGCACTGCTGGGCCTACCAACATTGGGTCCTGCATAGACTGCTGGGCCCACCAACATCCGGTCTGCAGAGACTGCTGGGCCCACCAACATCAGGTCTGCAGAGACTGCTGGGCCCACCAACATCCGGTCCCAGTGTTAGCACCTGGCTTTGATCTGTGATTTCTGTCTGCTACCCTCTGTCTGAAGTATGAGGACCATTGGGGAGGGGGGAAGGAGAGGGAACTGAGGGCCAGTGGGGGGGGCAAGAGAGGGAACTGAGGGCCAGTGGGGGGTCAGGAGAGGAAACTGAGGGCCAGAGGGGGGTCAGGAGAGGTAAATGAGGGCCAGTGGGGGGTCAGGAAAGGGAACTGAGGGCCAGTGGGGGGGGGGGGCAGGAGAGGGAAGTGAGGGCCAGTGGGGGGCGGCAGGAGAGGAAAATGAAGGCCAGTGGGGAGGCAGGAGAGGAAACTGAGGGCCACTGGGGAGGCAGGAGAGGGAACTAAAGGTTGAGTAAAGAACACGGCATACCTATAATTAGTGATCCTAGAGAAGCTAAATAAGAAGGAGAACCCAAAGAAAAACATATAGGCATCCTCCTGAATATTAACCTTCATCAGGCGATGAAAGAGGACAGAGACAGAGACCCACATTGGAGCACCGGACAGAAATCTCAAGCTCCAAATCAGGAGCAGAAGGAGAGAGAGCACGAGCAAGGAACTCAGGACAGCGAGGGGTGCACCCACACACTGAGATAATGAGGATGTTCTACTGGGAACTCACCAAGGCCAGCTGGCTTGGGTCTGAAAAAACCTGGCATAAAACCGGACTCGCTGAACATAGCGGACAATGAGGACTACTGAGAACT